ACTATCACCATCACTACTATCATTACCTTTCCTCTACCACCGCTACTCTATCTCCTCTACCACTACCATAACTTCACCACTAATCTCTTTTGTTGCCACCACCACCACCACCGCCACCACCACTATCACCTTTTATCCACTACCTTCACCACTACTGCCATTCTCTATCCTCTACCACAAAAAAATTAGTTTCTGATTTTTAGTAACAAAAAAAAATGAGTCGCAGAAAAATATTTTTCATTGATGGCAAAAAATTAACTTTATTTTAATGAAAAATATTTTTTATTCAAAATGAAAAATAATAATAATAATACTTTTGTATTCATTAAAATAAAAATGAAACAAATAAATTTTCAACCTTAATAACTAAAAGAAAACGAAAAAAAAATAAAATTCATTAACTATAAAAAAGAAAATTATTTTAACAAAAAATAAAATTTTTAAATATTCATTTTTGATGGAAATCAAAAATAAAAAAATAAAACCCCCTGGACCCGCAATTATTATTTAAATATTCATATGTGATGGAAACTAAATTTTTTTCCCCCAATATTCCGCTTGGTTCCCCCCATTTTTTTCCATTCTCACCTTTTTTTTCCCTCCCTTTTGAATCTCTTCGACGACCTCACAAAATTTCTATCTCGACTAGCACCGTTTGTCCTAGGGAGCTCCGCCTCGGCCTAGTTCCTCTCCGTCGTCATGGCTTCAGGAACCGGTCATTTTCGCATTCGTAGCTTCGCACAAGGAATCGGTAAGTTTATTGAAATTTTGAGCAATTTATGCATTCAAGTGTGTTCTAGTGTTGGACTGTTGCTTATCTGATTCACGCGAGCAATTTTTGTACCTTATATTAACATATTGGATTATTTGATGTCTTTTGGAATGATAAGGGTAAAATGATAGATTTGGCTCATTAGGGGTAAAATATTGGGTTAAAATGAGTTGATGGTTGATTTTTTAAAAATGTTAGTTTTAAAGACATGGCTTCTCTCCAATTTGATTCAAAATTCAGTCAATTTTGTGAGTGAAGTTGTAAGTTCAACAGCAGCTATAAAACTTCTCTTATAGAATTTGAATTGAAAATTTTAGGTTTTTTTTTTTTTTTTTCGTGTGTGACTTTTAGACAACTTCTCTTTCTAATATTTTGACTTGTTCAGTTAAAAAACAACTTTTTTATCTGCTTTCTAAACATCACATTAGTCTAAATAGAAGCTAATCTGATTTTTCAAACTAACCTTGGGAGGAGTTCTATTATTTTGCTTTCTTGTGAAGTTAATATACGAAACACATATTCCAAGTAGTGAACAAAGAAAGTTTAATTTGTTTTGCATATAGCATTTTAAAGTTTACAATGTTCAAACACTCCTGCAGTAACATTATTGTATTTTTTATCGCAATAAGATACATCAAACAAAATATATAATTTAACGGTTCGAGTTAAAACTTGAATAAAATGGCATTTAAATCACATACTAAAATGACGTAATTTTGGTTTAATTTTGACCAAAGGCTATTGAACTATAACACAACAAGACCATTGCAGAGATTAATCCTGATCCATATTAGCTATGTATATGGCCTCTGACACATTGATAGCTCAAATGGTTCTTGTTCTCTTTGATCATATATATTATTATTGTTTCTCTGTGTTTATGTGAACGTGTCTCCAAACACTCCCCTTCTGTAACTGCACTTAATGCATCCTATATGTGTAAACATGTGTGTGTGAGAGAGAGAGAGAATTATAAAACCACATAGACCCCATGGGGTTCCAAGCTCTATGAAAATTAGGTGTATGTTTCTCTTCAGATTGGTCCATGAACAAGCACCACTAGAACACCAATATACAACCCTACTATCTTAATTTCAAAATCTAATGTTCCTACAACTCTCTCTCTCTCTCTCTCTCTCTCTCTATATATATATATATATATATGTATATAGGCATTTTATAGCTTAACCACTACACTACCTAATTTTGGGTTATTGTATACCTGGTATGTAGCTTCATTTAATAATTATCACAACGACAACAATAGATCCACATGGCTTTCTGGATGTCATTTTGAAAGAAAAAACAAACATCTCCATGTTATCATAGGTGCTTGTGGCCAACAAGGATGTAACAAGGGACACAGGCATATATGTGCTGGTGGTCAACATGGATGTAACAAGGGACACAGGCATATATGTGCTGGTGGTCAACATGGATGTGTAGAATCTGACATAATGACCTCTAATAAAACTAAATATAGTATAGTTAAGGGAAATGTAGAAATTTCCTTCTCATTTAGCTTTGTATCTTTGAGTGCTCAGACCAACCTCTTCCAGTCTTGGTAGTTTTTCTTTTTTGGTGTGTGTGTGTGTGTGTGTTTTGTTTTTGGTAGTTTATGGTTGCTCATTTGATCCTTTTTCCTTTTTCTTTGTTTTGTGTGTGTGGAAAGATCATGTGATGTATAATGTGTTGTCTGCATTCAAAATATGGTGATATTTTTATACGTCGCGTTTTGTTAGTCATTGTCCCACACTGATCAATTTGTTTTTTTGCCTAGAGTTATACACTGAACATCACAACATTGCAAGGTTTTGAAACTTTTATGTCAAGTCTTAAAAACAAAACATTTTGCCCAAGCAAACAAGGAATTGGAGTGGCTCTTGTATTAAGCTGTGTGGATAACTATGAAGCAAGGATGGTTGTAAATCCGGTAATGCTATAACAGGCAGTATTTAATTTTTTGATAGTTGTGATTTAGCCATTTGGTTAATAGTTTATTATATTAATGAGGGAGTAATCTTGCTATGTTGTTTGAAATTTAAGAATAAAATATTCAGCTAATTTAGTTGTTATTTTACAGGCTTGCAACGAATTGAATCAGGCATGGATGGAGTCTGGATTTATAGGAAAAATTCAGAGACAATGAAAAGGTGGTCTTGAAAAGTGTAACGAATTAAATTAAGTTGGTTGGTCATTTTTTGACTTTGGAAGTCAACTAAGTTTGAGGAAGATGGATCATATTCATATTCGAGATTCTTGTCAAACAAAGAAGATCTGAGTCGATAGTAGCTCATCAACTTCTCCTAGGAAGATCAGAACTTCCAAACTGCTCAGAAAATCTCAAAACCTCTGATTGTTGCCCTTCTTGTTGTGATGTTGCTAAAGATGTAACCGAAGAGGGGGGGAAAATGAGAACCAGCAGTAAACCACATTTTCTGGAGGCCGGAGGATGGAATCCGGTGCTGAGAAGAAGGCGTGAGGCTAACCAAAACATTCGATCAGTGGATTTTGGAGTGTTTACTGTCTTTGTGGATGAGATCCCAAATTCAATGACCCCAAAGTGTTTGTTTACTCTGTTCAATAAGTTTGGTGTAGTTAAGGATGCCTTCATCCCGTCAAAAAGACGGAAAGCGACGGGGTCGAGGTTTGGTTTTGTGAGATACGAATGCAAGGTGGCTGCTGAAATGGCAGTGTTGAAGGCTGATGGATTATGGTGCAATAATAAGGCTCTAAAAGTGAAGAAAGCAGAATACCAAAAAGGGGAGTTTAAACAGCAGGCAATGAAAAACAGAAGATGGGATAGTATAGGTCGAAGATCTTTTGCAGAAGTAGTTCAGAGTGGTGGAAGTAATGAGAAGTTGAAGACGGTTGTCAAGGCAGTTGAAGTTGGCAATGGGTGGCTCTATGAGAGTTTAATAGTGAAGTTGAAATCAGGCATATCCTTGGACGAGTTCAAAAAGGAGGTTGGTAGAAGAGGTATGGAGGATGTAAGAGTCAGAGAAGGAGGAGGGAGGGTAGCAGTGCTAACTTTCAAGTCCCAGCAACATCGGAGGGAGGCTAGATCTAAGTTAGAAGAGTGGATGCTAGAATGGTGTGAGTCTATTATAGATTGGGAGAAAGGCAAGTATATTGAACAAGAAAGGTGCGTATGGCTCATCTGTGTAGGTGTACCATTTCATCTGTGGAGTGTTAATACATTCAAAGATATAGGCAAGCTTTGGGATGAAGTTGTCCAATTGGATGATGACACTACTAGTCAAAACTTTCTTCAGTGGGGAAAGGTACGAGTAATTACGTCCAGGATGGAGTTCATTAATACGGAGATTCATGTTGAATCCAATGGTAGCCTGTTCCCAGTTAGAGTTTATGAAGAGATTCCAGCAGCATTAAAGCCGTGCCATTGCAACAGTTCATACAGGGATAATGAGGTTAGTGGTTATACGGCTCATAATGAAGTAGATCAAATGTCAAAAAATGGTGGGTCAGACAACGATGAACTTGAAGCTGAACACACAAGGAAGGAGGAGCTGAGCAGAAAAGATGAGGTACCAGGTGATGATCAGGTTATGGTGGACCGAGAGGCAGGGGATAAAGGTGAAGGTAATGAGTGCCTATCTCCATCAGCTGTAAAAGGAACTGAGGATGACATGGGAAATCACAAAGTCAGAGGAGCTAGTATGGAGGTTAGTATGGAGAATACGGCAACCCCAAGAAATCAAATTCAAATTGTTGAAGGACATGTCTATACTCCTGGGTTTATTAGAAGCCTGAGTGGGCCAGAGATTTTAAGGCCCAACTTAAATTTAGAGGTGGTGCTGGAAGGGCCACAGGATGGGAATCAGGAGATTAGACCCACCACTGATCTTTCAGATTTAAGTGACTGTGCAGCCCATACTCAACTTAGGCCCCTTGTTCATCAAGAAGCCAAGTCTAGAGTAGCAGAACAAGTCAACCCAGTAAGAAGGGGAAAGCCTACACAATCCGTGGTAAATAGAGTTAATAAGGTTGGAGGTAATCTGCGACATAGGGCAAAACCGAACAAAAATCTGATCAACCAAAAAGGTGCATTGCAGAGGAAATGCTTCAAGCAAGGAGCCATTTTCAGAGCAGCAGCTGCGGCTATTTCAATGTCAGTAGAGCAGAGCCTTAACACCAGGAGGAGGAACAAGTTATTAAATGAAGCCCAAGCTACCATGGAAGTTGGGAAGATTCTGGGATTGGACTTTCAAGGGAAGGAGAAAGAGGTGATTGGCAAGCTGACTGAACTCGAACAGAAAAACTTGGAGAGGGTAGAAGGTAAAGGTGTTGCTATCAAGGTGTGAACCAGTCGGACTCCGGCCTCTTGCGAATCCACAAGCACCACCGGCCTCGCACCAGCACCAATCTCCGACTGATGATCATCAGATCTAATGGAAACAGTTTTGATGCGTTTATTATTTCCATTTTCCCTCCTCGAATTTTCCTTGTGTTTACAGATGGCACCACCGGGAATCGCACTCAAGTCGTACTCGGAATTGTCTTCGTAAATTCGAGACTGTTGTTGTAACTGTGGAGTAGCAAAATCAATGGTGGTGGGAGTCCGAGTAGTAGTAGTAGTAGTACCTGTACCTGTACCTGTAATAGTCGAAGAATCACCTGGAAGCAACAGAGAATCGTCAACAACGACCGAGTGGTTGTGACCGACATCAAAAGCAGCAGCGAGTGGTGAAGCGTTGTTGAGCTCAGAGAGCATGCTCTGTACCCACCCAGATAGATCAGAGGGGTTGTAGTGAACAGTATCACACAAAAGGTGAGAAATCCCATCATCAGGAGCAGTACCCATGACCATCTCCAGCTGCTCAAGCTTCTGCGCCACGTCAGCCATGTCCGATGATTTCACCTTGTATCCCAACACCTCCAGCAGCTCATCCATTCCGCCTCCTCCTCCTCCACAAATCCCATCATCGGGGTGGTCTTGCCACATCTTCCCCTTCTCCGCCCCCATTGATGAACTCTCTCCCTTGTCTCGCTCTCGATCTCGATCTCGATCTCGATTTCTCTTCATTGTGTCTCAAAATTTACTTTCCCCAATTCCTCACTCGCATAAATTTCCAAATCTAATCTCTCCTCAATTGACCACTGCTTGAAGGTTTTCGATCTGCTTGGTTTTTCGCAACACTTTTTCTTTTACTACTTTGTGAGAGAGAGAGAGAAGTGCTCGTGATGGGGCGCGAGCTCCAAGAGAGGAACTACAGGTAGAAGCAGAACTGGAGGAGATAAGGAAGAGGAAGAACGGACGCCATAATAAATGTTCTTTTTTGTTTCCTTTTCTTTTTGTTTTTCTTTTTCAATTATTATTTTACACCATCAAAGTATTATTAAATTTTCGCTTTAACCCCTAAATTTTAGATTTTTTAAATTTTAATATAAAGAGCAACTGTAGTAACATTAGAGTTGCAAATAAATTGAGCTGATCGTAAACAAATTCAAATTTGATTTGAAAAGGACTCCTTCAAACTCAATTTGTTAAGTTTTTATTGTGATTAAGTTTTGACTCATCTGAGGTGTTAGAGGCAGAATTTCTGGAGGATGAAATTTGGGAAGCACTCAAAGATTGCGAGGGAAATAAAGCCCCGAGGCCGGATGGTTTTAACTTGAAATGTATTCAAAAGTGATGGGCCATCATGAAAGGTGAGTTTGTGCAGTTGATGAATGAGTTCCATTCTAATGGAAAGTTAGTCCAAGGAATAAATAGTTCATTTATTACCTTAATTCCCAAGAAAGAAAATCCTGTGGGGTTGGGGGATTACAGACCAATCAGCTTGATTACCTCCGTATACAAAATCTTAGCTAAAGTCTTATCAAGAAGGCTAAGGAAAGTGCTGCCTAAGATCATTAGTGGAGTTCAAACTGCATTTTTGAGTGGAAGGCACATTATAGATGGGGTTTTAATTGCCAATGAAGTGGTGGACTGGTGGAAAAGGTCAAAGAAAAAAGGTCTCATCCTAAAGCTGGATTTTGAAAAGGTGTATGATTTCGTAAATTGGGAGTTCTTGTACTCAATGATGAAAAATTTCGGTTTTGGAGAGAAATGGGTGGGGTGGATGAAGACCTGCATATCCACAGCTCGAATTTCAGTACTTGTAAATGGCTCACAAACTTCTGAGTTTTCTCCCATGAAAGGGCTTAGGCAAGGAGATCCGCTCTCTCCTCTTCTCTTTAATATTGTAGCGGAGGGTCTGAACATTCTATTGGAAAGAGCTAAGGAAGTGGAACTGATTAGAGGAGTATCCGTAGGATCATCTGAATTGATAATTACGCATTTACAGTTTGCCGATGATACCATTATTTTTTGTGAAGCGGAGTGGGAGGAAGTTGTAGCCGTGAAAAGAATTCTAAGGTGCTTTGAGTTGATGTCTGGTCTCAAAATAAATTTCCACAAAAGCAAGGTTTGTGGTGTAGGTGTGCAGGAGGATATTGTCCAGGTCTTTGCAAACAAACTAAACTGTCTCAGTCAAAAGTTGCCAATGAGTTACCTGGGGTTACCATTAGGTGCAAACCCAAGGAGAAAGGCTTCTTGGAAACCTGTGCTAGACAAGTTTAAGAGGAAGCTAGCTTCTTGGAAAAGAAGGTATTTATCCTTTGCGGGCAGAGTAACACTTATCAAGTCCGTCCTGTCAAGTTTGCCAGTTTATTTCTTATCAATTTTTAAGCTCCCAGTGGGCATTGCAAAAGCCCTTCACAGAATTCAAGCCAATTTTCTTTGGGGAGGATCTGAAATCAGGAAGAAAGTACACCTAATTAACTGGAAGGAGAAAAGGTCTCATCCTAAAGCTGGATTTTGAAAAGGCGTATGATTCCGTAAATTGGGAGTTCTTGTACTCAATGATGAAAAACTTCGGTTTTGGAGAGAAATGGGTGGGGTGGATGAAGACCTGCATATCCACTGCCCTGCGTGATTTCTTCTTGCGAAACTACAGGTTAGTTGTTGGAAATGGTAGAAGGTTGCATTTTTGGACTGATAGGTGGTGCCACAACCAAAATCTGAGTGTGTCTTTTCCCAGATTATTCACACTATCAGTTGACAAAGATGGAAAGCTGTTTGATTTTTTTCACCGAAGAGTGGCAGACCCCGACTGGAATCTGGTTTTCAGAAGACCACTTTTAGCATGGGAAGAGGAGGAAGTGCAAAAACTTAATGATCTTCTGCAGAGTGCGCCTAGGCTCAATGAAGGGGTGGTAGATTCTTGTGCTTGGCTAGGCCATCCGTCTGAAGAGTTCACTGTGGCATCAATTTGGAAGTGGATGGAAGCAAGTGAAGGGGTGGACTGCACAGTCACTAGGTGCATTTGGAATAATATAGCCCCCCCCAAAGTTCAATTCTTGAGTTGGTTAGCGTGGAAAGGAAGGATAAAATGCTCTGAATTCTTGCAAAGAATAGGAGTGTTGAGCCCAAACGCCTCGGCTGTCTGTGTGTTCTGCAGATCTGGGGTGGAGTCCGTAAATCATGTTTTTCTGCACTGTCCTATCATTTGGAAATTGTGGGCCATGTTAGTGAACTGGTGGAATTATGAGTGGGTTATCCCTGGATCAGTGGAGGGACTACTCCTGTCGTGGTCAGGCATAAAAGTGAAGAAGAAGTTGCAAGCAGTTTGGAAGATTATACCTCTAACAGTCATGTGGTCTGTGTGGAAAAGCAGAAACGATTGTTTATTTAATAAGGTACAATCGGATTGGAATGCATTGGTAGAACTGATAAAGGCTAGAGTCGCGTTGTGGGTTTCTACATCATTAAAGGGGTTTAACTATTCGGTGCAAGATGTTATCTTTAACCTGAGTCAAGTGTGTCATTGTGTGTAATTAAGTGCTGAATTGCTTCTGGTTTTGTGGATGGTTAGTTGGTCTGCTCTGAAGTCTGTTTTGAGTTTGTCATAAATTGGTTCAGTTGGCTATGGAGTTTACCTTCAAGGCTTAATGCTGTGCGATTCAGTTGTCAAGCCAGAGGAGTGTCCATCTGCATCTTTGGTATGCACTCAGATTTTGCAGAGGTGGCTAGCTACAGAGGGGTTGAATCAGAATTTGCATTACAGAGAGGGCGGGTGGTCTGTTTTGCATGTGGTCTGTTTTGTAATCAAGTGGCTCTTATTTTTGATCAAGCTGCTCTTACTCAAGGAAAGGTGTCTGGTTTGTTTGTTTGGGCTGTTGCAAGGCAATGTAGCTTAAGGCAAATCTGCTCCATTTGAATGCTCCAGCATTGGTGACTTCTGCAATTCTGTTGCAAGGAAAGGTGTCTGGTTTGTTTGTTTGTGTGCTATACTTCAGTCCCACAGTTCTGCCATGACTTTAGGCTGCAGGTGGTAGTTCTTCAGGTTAGGTGTTGTAGCTCTGTTGGCTCAGTCAGAATTAATCTACAGGTTGCAGGTTGCTGTTTTGTTCTGGTTTGGACTGTTTTGGATTGGTTAGCTCTGTCTGCTCTGGACTGTTATGCATATCTGTGGACTGCTATGTGGTTAGCCGGTGGGAGGTGTAATGCTAGTGCTTAGGCTTCCACAACATCAATTGTTTTGTTCAGTTCTGTTTTGTTTTCTTCTTGTTTTTTTTGTTGGTTTCTCACCAACTGGAGGTTGGAGCTTCATTTAGCTCTAAGCTCCTCTTTATTGATGTTCTGTATCTCTTTTACATACTTACATCAATAAAGATTTTCTTTGCCGATCAAAAAAAAAAAGAGTCTGGTAAGAAACATTTTTTAAAAGAAATCCGTGAGGGAACTTGTTTGATCTTCTTGTGCAAAAATCAGTTGAATATGCTGGCATGTAGTGAAAAGGTTAGAATTGTATTTGTTACTCAGATGGATTGGGACTGTATCTTTTTCTTCCTTGGAATATCATCCAGTGTAGTTGTATTCTGACAGGTGTCTTGCAATCTATGTTAGGTTAGACAAATTGGTACAGTGAATTAATGCTTGAAAATTTGTTTTCTATATTTCATTGGCTATCAGCTCAGGTGAGATACTATGTATGGTTTGACAAAAATAGTGGTGTAGCATGTTGATGTGGAATTACACAACAGGAGAAAATTGGAATTTAACCTGAGAATTTTATTGATGTGTTGAAATGAACTGCGAACCCAATTAAGTTACACTTGCACTTCATAATTCCCTTCCAACTTAACGGGATTTAAATTCTTAATCTTAATTAAGTTACACTTACACTTTATAATAAGCACTTAATGGTTACGCATTACTTCATGTGGGATTTGATGCTATAATAGTTAAATTTTTATTTTTGTATTTGATTGAGATGTTTAATTATCCATGTGGGATTTGATGATTAACAAAAAAATGTTGTATTTGATGCTATAGTAGTTAAATTTTTATGTTTTTTTGTAATTAACATTAACACATAATTATATTGTCATTAATTATTTTTATATTTATTTTTCAGATATTTTCCATATAGGAGTGTGCTTCTTGTGGAATGCACGCCTGTGGAGAATGCGGCAAACTTTTGTTTTTGTTATCTACGAAGAATGATGAGAAAAATATTTAATTTTGGTTTATGTTATTTTCAATTATAAACAAAATCATGTATTTAAACATTATATATGTATTATGGAACATTATGTAGTGGGATAATTTTATTGATGTGTAATTATGAACGGAAGAATATTTTATTATAGAGAAATTTTTATTTTTATACAGAAATTTTTATATTATTATGCAGAAATTTTAATATTTTTAATAATTTTATCGCAAAATGTTTTTTTCTTTTTCGTGACGGCACTACACCGTTGCAAAAAATAAAAAATTTTAATATTTTTATTGATTTTGTTACAGGTTTTACTTTTTGCAACAGCACTAAACTGTCGCAAAAAATAGAAATTTTATTATTTAAAATAGAAATTTTATTATTTTTTTAGTACTTTTGCAACAGCAGTACACTGTCGCAAAAATTAAAATTTTCATATTTTTAATACTTTTTGCGACGGCGCCACACCGTCGCAAAAACTTGCCGTTGCCAAAAAAGACTATTAGCGACGGCATTTTTCGCCATCTCAAATAACATTTTTAGCGACGGTAAAATAGTGCCGTCACAAAAAATTCAAGAAATTTCAAATATTATTAGCGACTGCAAAGTGCCGTCGCAAAAACTCTTTTGCAACGCCCCCAGTTGCGACTCTCCTCTTGCCGTCGCAAAAAGTTTTTTGCGACGGCATTAGGAGTATTAGTGACGGCATTTTGCCGTCTCAAAAAGCTGAAATTTTAGTAGTGAATGCAATAGAATACAAGGGAAGCAAATGACGTAAGCTAGTGCAATTCACAGGGAAGAGAATGGGTGCAGGGAAGAGAATGGGTGCAGCCTATGCAATGTTCTTTGCTAAATAGTTATTCCAGGTAGTTAATGCCGAGAAGATGAGCCAACAATGAAACATAGTTTTATCACAAAAGGTAACAGGAAATGAAATAGAAAATATGCATTCTAATAATAAAAATGCTACTATGTAGTCCAGCTCCTCTACCTCCCGCATTGGTAGTACTACCGGTGGATAATTACCTTCTTTACACTATTGTAGCAAAAAAAAGAAAAAGAAAAAACAGCTATGATAAAAATTTCAATCACATAAGCTTTTAAATTGACATAATAAAGAAGATATGGATGAAGAGAAGAGATAATAGACTTGAAGCAGTGCATTTCACAATTGGTTGAATGGAGAGCAACGGTTTTAGAAATCTTTTAGGTTTAGGGTTTCTAAAAAAAATGGAAGGAAGAGGTTGGAATGAAAGAATTCTCGTGGGTTTAAAGTTTTAGAAAGCATGTGGTTTCATTATTCTAAAGATAAAGGAAAGTCTGTTCAAATTTGAGGATAAAAGGGAATTGGGATAGGATTAGATTCAAAAGTGATAAACTGCTATTGCCATTAAGCTGCTGAAAAATCAAGAAAACAAATTAAATAACAGGATAGCAAATAGCAAAAATGTTAGGGTTTATTAGGACTGGGTAGTGTAGTTGGTTGAGTTTTGGCAACGAAAAATGACTAATTTGGGACAAAACAATCACCTGAGAATACTAACTCGGCCTCAGTTTTCTCTCTTTTTTTCTTTTTTGTTTTTTTTTTCTTTGCATTTGGTTATTGATTGCTAGGGTCAAATTTTTGTAAAGGATTAGGCTTATGAGAACAAGATTCCAAGGTTAGAAAGAGTTGATTATATGAAGAAAGAATATAAGGAAGAAATGGTGAACAACATAGAAATTTTGATTAGAGTCCTCGTGCTTCATTCACATAGGAGTTGAGTTTCACCAAACAAAAGTAATCTCAAATTCCCTTGAATCCACACATTATTTAATAAGCTCAAACATAAATATATCTGTTGGACTTCTCTTATTAGTTATTAGCCCTCCAAGAGTAGAAACCATTAATCTTAGAGGCTTTGACCAGACCAAATAACAGACCATTTATAAGAATTAATAACATTAACTTACAAAAGGAGATCTATGGACTATAATTAAACCATGTCCGGAAAATGAAAAACTATCAAAGCATCCTTGGCTTCCAAAAGAAAGAAAAAAGAAAAAAAAATAGACTAAAAAAAAAAAAGAAAACTATAATTAAACATAAACTAGGACTCGATTTTCCTTTAGTGCAAAAAGGCATATTGATGATCTTGATTCGTGTAGCGATTGTTTTAGACTTCCAAAGTATATTATATTTGTTCAACCATTCCATAAGAACAATATTACCCCTTTAGTTTTGGGAGTGTATTGGAACAGGGTAGTTCATATTATTTTTTGATTGAAAACCTCAAAATTTACTAAATATGAGAAAAAGGGATAAAATTACTAAAAAGGAAAAAGGAATAAAACAAAAACAAAATCACATAACTATTTGCTCAACTAGGTGAAAAGTAAAAAGGTGATGATACAAAATAGACTAGCCATGAGACTTTCATTTTTACTTTTTCCATTGACATGTAGTTTTGTGCATTAATCCAAGTGCACATTTGGTTGTAGAGACTGCTTAACATGCAAATGTCTCACTTCAATAACAAATTCATCAGGACTCAGCACAAGTTCATGCAAATATTATACACTAGAATTTGATTTCAATCTCTACAGAAAAAACAAGTGGTTGTCTAATTTGATATGCCTTTAGTGTAGCTACAATCAAAATGTCATTGCCTTTTCTTTTTTTTCTCTCTTTTTCTTTTTGTTCCCTTTTCTTCTTCTGCTCTTGCACAAGTAGGAAATATCATTTGTCACAGCTAAAGGACCAAGGAAAGAAAACAAATACCTTAACGTACCCTCTTTCTCAAATGTTACATTCACTATAGGATGTTCTCAAGGACATTACAATTATCTCTTTCCATTGGAGGAAGGGGATGTACCCCATTTTGTGCACTTGCTTGACACTCTTGGGTTGTCCCTAGTAAAGAATAACAAGTTAAAGTCTCAATAGGATGGTCTTAAGGACATTACAATTATCTCTTTCCATTGGAGGAAGGGGATGTATCCCATTTTGTGCACTTGCTTGACATTCTTGGGTTGTCCCTAGTAAAGAATAACGGGTTGAAGTCTAGGTTTGAGAATAGGGAGTTTACATCGAAGGGGGGCAATACTCAAAGAAGTTCGGGGCATAGAAAAGCATTAAGGGAGTTGAGGAATCTTGAGAGCGGCATTAATTATGAGGGAACGGAGAAGGAGGTTAGGGGTGTTCTAGGTGCTCAATGAAGATTTTGAGTTGGAATGTTAGAGGACTATGGTCCCGTAGAAAAAGGGCGATAATAAAATATTTTTTGAAAGTTCATCAACTAGATATTGTGATGTTTCAAGAGACCAAGTGTGAGGAGTGTGATAGGTCTTTTATTAGAAGCATTTGGGGGACTCGATTTAAAAAGTGGGTTGTTTTACCTTCTAGTGCAAGATCAAGAGGAATTTTGATTATGTGGGATGACAAAATTGTATCGGAGTGTGAAACACTATTGGGGGCTTTTTCATTGTCTATTAAGTTTCGGAATCGAGATAATAGTGAGTGGTGGTTAATAAGGGTTTATGGTCCCAATAGACCTAGGGAAACACAGGATTGGTGCGAGGAGTTAAGGGGTTTATTTGGGCTTTGTGCTCCTAATTGGTGCGTGGGCATGACTTCAATGTGGTTAGGCTCGCGTCTGCAAGCTCAATGGGGCTTCTTCAAATAGAAGAATGAGTGATTTTGATTCTTTCATTAAGGAGGGTGAATTGATTGATCTTCCTTTGAGCAATGCTAGGTTTACCTGGTCTAACTTTCAAGATAATCTTGTGTGTGGTAGACTGGATAGGTTCCTCCACACTTTGGTGTGGGAAGTGTTGTTTCCCGATATTAGACAAGAGGCATTGCCTAGGGTTGTGTCAAATCATTGCCTGGTGATTTGTGAGAGTTGTCCCTTTAAATGGGGTCCTTGTCCCTTTAGGTTTGAGAATGTGTGGTTGGAGGATCGTTCTTTTAAGGGCTATTTTAAGGATTGGTGGGAGAGTTGTAGACCCCAAGTGTGTGAGGGTTTCAAGTTCATGTGCAAGTTGAAAGGGGTCAAAGAGAATTTGAAAGTTTGGAAGCGTGAAGTCCGTGGTGATTTGAATGAGTTAAAGGAGGAGTTAGTAAGAGGCATTAAGGATTTAGATGCAAAGGAAGTTGGGGAGGGCTTATCTAGGGCTTTGAGGGACGAAAAAAACATGCTTAGAATGAAACTAGAAGAGATAATTTTTAGGGAACAGATTTTTTGGCGGCAAAGTGCTAAGTTGAAATGGGCAAAGGAGGGTGATATAAATTCTAGATTCTTTCATAGAGTTGCGTCAGGGAACAGGAAAAAAAAAAACTTTATTAAGTGTTTGAAGGTTGATCAGGGGTTAGTGGTGAACAAGGAAGAGCATATTGTGAGTGAAATTTTTGAATTTTACTCAAACCTCTACTCAGATGGAGGTGTGGATCAGTCAGGGATTGAAGGCATCAATTGAGCTCCAATTAATACCTCTAAAGCCAGATGGCTTGAGAGACCCTTTAATGAGTGTGAGGTGCGATAGGCTGTGTTTGATTGTGAAAAAGATAAGGCTTTAGGACCGGACGGTTTTTCAATGGTATTGTTCTAAGATTGTTGGGACGTTGTGAAAGGAGATTTAATGAGAGTGTTTGGTGAATTTTTTGAGAGTGGGGAGGTTAACTTTTGCACCAACGCATCTTTCATTCGCCTTATTCCCAATAAGGAGAAGTCAGTGAAGATTGGGAATTTTAGGCCCATTAGCTTGGTTACATCGCTTTACAAAATTTTGGATAAGGTTCTTTCCAAAAGAATTAGAGATGTTCTTGGGGAAACGATCTCTCCTTCACTGGGTGCCTTCGTGCATAGAAGGCAAATTTTGGATGTGGTCCTAGTGGCCAATGAGATTGTGGACGAATATAGATTGTTGCATAAGGAGGGGCTTATTTTCAAGGTAGACTTTGAGAAAGCATATGATTATGTGGATTGGGGCTTTTTGGACTTTGTTTTGGAAATGAAGGGTTTCGATTTTAGGTGGAGGAAGTGGATTTGGGGGTGTGTGTCATCGTGCAACATGTCGGTTATTGTGAATGGAAGAGCAGGGAATTATTTCTTTTCAAGTATCTTGGGGATTAAGGCAGGGAGATCCATTATCACCGTTTTTATTTATTGTAGTGATTGACGTGTTGGGGAGGTTAATCGACATTGCTAGGGATAAGGTGGTTATTGAGGGTTTGTGATGGGTAGAAATAGGATTAGTGTGACTCATTTGCAATTTGCAGATGATACTATATTTTTCTCTGCTAAGGAGAAGAGTAAGGTATGTAATCTACTTATGATTTTGAGGATCTTTGAAGTTGTATCCGGCCACAAGGTCAATCTTAGTAAGAGCAGTGTTGTCGGTATTACTCTTGAGCATAGTTGTGAGCAACGAATGGCAGCTATGTTGGGTTGTCCCATTGACAAGTTCCCTCTCAGGTGTTTGGGGCTTCCATTGGGTGGTGATCCTAGAACAGAGGCATTTTGGAATCCAGTCTTTGTTAAGATTGGGAAAAGATTGGAGAGATGGAAGTGAGCATTGTTGTCTAGGGGGGGAGATACACTTTGGTACAGGCAGTGTTGAACTGTATTCCTATTTATTTTTTGTCCCTGTTCAAGATACCGGTTCGTTTTGCATGGCATATTGAGAAACTACTGAGAGACTTTCTTTGGGAAGGGTATGAGGAGGGTAAGAGGGATCACTTAGTTTGATGGGAGGTTGTCTCTCTTCCTCGGCATAAAGGAGGTCTTGGTATTGGGAACATTGTTGCTAGAAACATTGCCCTCTTAAGCAAATGGTTGTGGAGATTTCCTGAGGAAAGTGAGTCCTTATGGTGTTCTATTATTAAAAGCAAGTACGAAATTCAGGCTAATGGTAGAGATTCCATTGTGGTTAGCAGAGGCAATTGTCGTTCTCCGTGGAAGTCTATCTTTCGTTTGTTTTTACTTATGTCTCAATTTTTGTCTATGAAAGTGGGTGATAGGGCCAGTATACGATTTTGGGAGAATGTTTGGGTGGGGGATACATCTTTTGACAAAGCTTTTCCACTTTTATATCGATTGGTTCATGCTAGAAATGTTTCATTTGCGCCGGTGGCATGTTCTAACGTGGCACCAATTTCTTGGAATTTCAATTTCCTTAGGAATCTAAGTGATAGGGAGTCTGTTAAGCTAGCATCTTTGTTGACATTGATTGGTGAGGTTTCCTTGGCTTTATCTCCCAATAAAAGGGTGTGGAGTATCAACTCTTTAGGGGTCTTTTCTTGTAAATCTTTGTTTGCCAAATTCATTGAAAAGTCCTCCGTTCCTTTCTTTCCTCTTCATATGAAAATTTGGAAAGCGAGTGTCCCTCATAAAGTGAAGTTTTTCATGTGGTCCTTAGCTCAAAGAGGTGTCATGACCGATGACCTATTCCAAAGGAGAAGGCCTAGTCACGATCTTTGCCCTAAACGGTGCGTGATATGCCAGAGCAGTTCGGAATCAGCAGATCATCTCTTTCTTCATTGTTTGGTGGCTCTTGTGTTATAGTAGCGTCTATTTGGCTTGTGTGATGTTAAATGGGCTGCTCCACAGGATTGCACACATATGGTTTTGTTAAGTTTGAAGGGTTCGGCGACTTTAAGAGAGCCAAAACATTGTGGTCTTGTATTGTTTGTGTTATTTTCAGGACTGTAACACCCCCAAAATAATACAATAAAGATAACTCATATGCGGAATAAATATGAGAAACAACATACTTTCATATATCAGAGTTCAATGTTTAACAACCATTTAAATGCCATGTAGGCTTACATCTTTTCAAGTCATTGATCATCTCTTTCTTCATTGTTAGGTGGCTCTTGTGTTATAGTAGCGTCTATTTGGCTTGTGTGATGTTAAATGGGCTGCTCCACAGGATTGCACACATATGGTTTTGTTAAGTTTGAAGGGTTCGGCGACTTTAAGAGAGCCAAAACATTGTGGTCTTGTATTGTTTGTGTTATTTTCAGGACTGTAACACCCCCAAAATAATACAATAAAGATAACTCGTATGCGGAATAAATATGAGAAACAACATACTTTCATATATCAGAGTTCAATGTTTAACAATCATTTAAATGCCATGTAGGCTTACATCTTTTCAAGGCATTACTTGGTTACACAAAGTAAGTCTCGCTCATTACATCTTAAGCCCTTGGCTTTACAAATAACAAACATACACACATAAGGCATAATTAAGAAGCTCTTGCTTCCCGAAAGTCCATCCATGCTATTACCTTGGAGGTAACATCTCACTTGCACCTGAAAATGATATTCTCGTATAGGGTGAGCCAACAGCCCAGTAGAGATAATCTATCACAATATATGAGGTTTAGCAAAGGTATAAATACCACGTGCATAAACAATTCTGATACAAAATTATCCACAAGGCCTGCATATTCATATGTCACTAAGACCTAACCTCATTTCCATTTTCCTTCAATTCATTTATAATTCATATATGCTACTCAATTCATGAGTTCAATTCATTATCTTTCAACCACCAAAATGAGACTACAACTCAATGGTTCTCCAACTATGCAAAACACACATAAACACTTCAACTTGCCATGTTACGGATATTTTGTCGGAAGGAACTAACACCCATTTATATATGAAATTCCGGGTCTTTCACTCAGGACATTCTGGCCAACTTGTTTAACATGGAGTCCATCCCCTTTCTCCTCCTAAACAAATATACATGTGCAATGTATTTATAATCATAATCACATATGGAGTACATCCCCTTTCTCCTCCCAATAAACATACATATACAATGTATTTATAAACATAATCACATGTAGAGTACATCCCTTTTCTCCTCCCAATCAACATACATATACAATGTATTTATAACATGGTCATATTCAATGACACCAACAATGGACTAGCACTAAATCGCCTAATCCTCATGCAATTTCTATAACAATCATAGCTATCCTCCACCGATAGCCCAATACAATTATTTCTAAAAAGATGTTCAATCTCAAAGCAAATATTTTATTCAAAACTTACATAGGTGAGATAATACATATCCAATATCACCATCTATACCTATAACCTTCCAATTTCACATTTTCAATGTTAATTCCCAATTATTTATACAAAATAATAATTTAATCAAAAATTAGGGTAAAATCTCCATTTTTTCAAATATCAACCCAAACACCAAAATCAACTAATTTGGCACAACATGATCTCCATTTTTTCAAATATCAACCCAAACACCAAAATCAACTAATTTGGCACAACATGATCTATTATTCAAGCTTCATATTCATTTACCTTGTATTCATCAAAACCCCTCTTTTCATTTCACCCCCAAATCCTAGATTTTGTCCAAACCACAACCAAAATCTCATCATCTACACACAATAGCAAATAACTAAGCTAAAAATCATATTAGAGTGTAGAAATTCCTTACCTCAAGTGTAGAAGAAGAAAAGAGTTGAAACCCCCAAAATAGCTTCATATTCATTTACCTTATATTCATCAAAATCCCTCTTTTCATTTCACCCCCAAATCCTAGATTTTGTCCAAACCACAACCAAAATCTCATCATCTACACACAATAGCAAATAACTATGCTAAAAATCATATTAGAGTGTAGAAATTCCTTACCTCAAGTGTAGAAGAAGAAAAGAGTTGAAACCCCCAAAATCAACGACGATGAAACTCGATCTCCACCGCATACAACGAAACTCTCGAGAACTTACACATTGGTTGGTCCTCTGACCTAGCCGATAGGGTGAACCGTTTTTAGTTTGACCGATTCACTGGTTTAACTGCGATTTTAGCGGTTTTATCAAAATATATTGGTTAAATTTGTTTGATTTGAAATAAATTAAAGATTGACCTAATTAAAGATTAAACGGCTGAGATTACTTGATTCGAAATAAACTTTCCGTCCAAACAATTGTTAACTTTTAAACAATTAAGAAAATCCCCATTGGCTAGCTTTCATTTAACTTTTATTTTATAATCTCACATCGAGAAAAGAAGGAAAAAGTGAATTGTTTCATTTATATAAAGTGAATCGTATACTCCCATTTATATAAGCAAAATGAGATTTTTAGTGAGAAACCTTATGATCAATATCTTATACTAATTTTTTTGATTTTCTTAATTTTAAAAAATTAAGAAAATCCCCGATTGACTAGCTTCCATTTAACTTTTATTTTACATAACATGAAAAAATTAAATATAATTATCATATTTTTATTAAATAATATTATTTTAACTCGTGCATAGCACAGATGATATGCTAGTTAATGAGAAAGAGAGATATTGAACCCAACATGGTTATGTATGGAGCCATTGTTAATGGGCTCTGCAAAAGGGGAAACACCAGCATGGCTATTACGTTGCTTAGGGCAATGGAAGAGGGAAGTTATAAACCTGACATCATAGTGTATAGCATAGTCATTGATGGTCTTTGCAAGGATAGAATGGTGGATGATGCTATGAAACTCTTTTCTAAGATGAATGAACAAGGCATTCATCCAGATGTTATCACTTAAACTTCTTTGATTCATGGCCTATGTAATTTTGGCTGGTGGAAAAAGGCTACCGAAATCTTAAGAGAAATGTTGGATAGTGGTATTGCTCCAAATGTTCGTACATTTAATGTGTTGGTGGATGCTGCTTGTACCAAGGAATGAAGGATGAAAGGGACAGATGGGGTATTTGAAGTCATGATACAAAAAGGTGTGGCTCCTGATGTAGTTACATTCAAAACTGTAATGGGTGGATATTGCTTGCAAGGCCATATGGATGAAGCAATTAGAGTGTCCAATACCATGGTGAACATGGTCTTCACCCTGATGTTCGTAGCCATAACATTTTAATCAATGGATATTGCAAGAAGATGAAAATAAATAAGGCCATACATCTTTTTCAAGAAATGCCTAAACGAGGGTTGAAACCCAACACTATAACCATCACCACTGTGTTACAGGGTCTGTTTTGGATTGGTAGGTGTGCATATGCTAAAGAACATTTTGATGAGATGCAAATGGCAGGCCTAGTTCCAAATATTCCAACTTATAATATCATGTTGGATGGGTTATGCAAAAATGGACATATTATAGAATCATATTCATTATTTCGAATGATGGAAAACAATGGTTTAGATGTTGATGTTGTTATGTATACTGTCTTCATTGATGGATTCTGCAAGGTTAAAAATCTTGATACTGCAAGAGATATTTCCAATCACTGTTGGAAATTAGATTTTTAGTGGCGTTTAAAAAACGCCGCTATAGTTATCAAAAACGCTGCTAATTCCTTTTGCGACGTTTAGTATCAAACGTCGAAGATGCGGCCGTCGTTGTAGCTTTATGACGCTTTAAAAGCATCGCTATATTAATATAGGTGGCGTTTTCTAAAATGCCGCTAAATGTGCTGTATGCAGTACAATGACGTCACGTCTTATTTTAGCGACATTTTAAAAACGTCGCGATAGCTCTTTTTATTTTAAAAATATAACCGTTAACACTATACTATAATGGCGCTTGA